CCCCAAAACCCCAAAACCCCAAAACCCCAAAATTTGTGAGGGTTGTAAATTTTAATAACGAGTACTATTTTGGCCTAAACGGAGGCATAATTTTTTGTCGCTTTGGAAAAGAGTATTTCTTTTAGAATTTCTTTTACCAATTCTATGCGGTAGAGCGGTATTGTTTCTATATAAATGTCAAACGATTTGATTTACAATGTCTTTAAGTTCTTCTTGACTGTATTATTCATTGGAGTTGACATTTTGATAAGATTGTCAGTTAATGAAAAATCTTGATTCGAATCTCCTCTTTTTATATTAAGAATTCTTTTAGTTTTAGGAGAGAAGTTTTTAGTCAAACTTTTTGTTCTAGGTCTTTTCAATTGCATCTCTCCAAAGGGCAAGCTCACTCCAGAAATGTCCCCCTTTCCTCTTGATACAGAAGTCTTAGGAGTATGAGCATGGATATCCCAGTCATCATTACCTTCAACTAAGTTTCTTTTAGTTGCACTACTTTTAGGAGAAATGGGGAAATCCTTAGTTTCATGACTTGCTGAAAAAAGCTCCTTAACTCGAAGATTTTGTTCATGTACTTCATTGGCAGCGATCATCTTATAAAATTCTCCTAGCATTTCTCTATAAATCTTCTTTTGCCTGCCTAAATCTTTCAACAAAGCTTCATTCTGCGTTCTAATTTGAATCATTTCCTGCAAGAGGGGATTCTTAAAAGACTCTATCTCATTCTGTATTCTTAGAACTTTGCTTTTCAATGGCTCAATTTTGTTCTTGACGAACTCCTTGAAATTAGTGAGTTCATTGTCTATATAATTTGAAAAGGTTTTCTTCTTTTCCTCCAGTGGCTTTAGACCTGTGAATTCAAATTCCTTCAGCTCTTTTGCCATTTTATCATTATTGTTTTTGTTAGGATTCCTATAGATCATGGTAAGATATACTTTGTCCTCCGAGATCCTGATTTGGAAATTCTTATCTTGAGGTCAGCATTCATTTCATTCATATTATCATCACTTAGGTCCTTGGCCTCTTCTTCTAAAGCCTTTTGCTTTGCGAGAATATCATCATTGATTGTTTTGTTCAGCTATGGTTATTACAGGGAGATACCATATCAATTTTAGCCTGAAGTTCCTTTAACAGCTCATCATGATGCTTCATTGTATCCTCGTTTAGAATCTAGACGAGAGGTTAGGAGCATCAAAGAGTTTACATACTGATCCATTTTGGTCATTTTGAGAGATAATGTTTGAATTTGAGATCTGATCGTCCATTTTATTTACTTTATCTAATAATTCTTTTAATCTATCCTCTAAATTCTTTTCATCAGTTGCCCCTGAGTTATAGCCTTTGTTAAATTTGTCTCCAAATCTATTTGACCTAATAAAATAAGAAAGTACTATCGAGAGCTTACAGAAACTGTTTCATCCACTTCAATTGACCATCAATATCATGAATTTTTCCTCCATAATCTAAAAATTCTTTTAAATTTTTACCATTTTGAACCTTGCTCAGCCTTTCCTCCATCGTATGTTTGGTAACCAGAGTTTCTAAACCCCTCTTAATTCAACTTCCAGACCTCAAAATCCAAAAATCCGAAATTCCTTACTTATCTCTTCCTCCATACTTTCCTTAAACTCCTTAAACATCCCACTAATCTTCTTCTCAACCTCCCTCATATTCATAGACATCGAGCTCTAAAATTATCCCATCTCGTACCTTCATCAGATCCATTGTGACATAATTACCTAACTTAAGCAAGACTCCATGCTCCCCAACCTGATTTCTAATTTCATGCATATCCTTCTCCATCTTAACGTATCTTTTCATCAAGACTCCAGCTATAAAGGATTAAGGTTGATTGCAGAAGGGATCCTACTTTTGTCCTTGGAGCGGAAGTACTCGTTCAGGCGCAGGTCTTTCATAATGTTGTTATTCATTTTATTTTGATCAATACGCACAGAGAATTTAGGGGTTTTGGGGTTTTGGGGTTTTGGGG